AAATTCCTGTCCTGCCCCGCCGTCTCTGGTCTATGAAAAAGACAATAAAATAATTTGCATTGGTGTAAGAGCTGCCAACAGTTGCTGTAGTAGCAGAAGTACTCAAGGTTGGTGCAATTTCCTTCTGTCATCTCACTTAAGGACCGAATCACTAACTCTCTGGAAATGTTTCATGGAAATGTCACAATGCAACACTCCAAGAATTACAAGAGCAAGTATACCAAAGAACAACCTTTGAGCACATCTATACAAGGTGAATGTGATTTCATGCCAGCACAAGATGTGAGTGTTTAAGAGCAGCTGCTTTGATGAGGCTCTTCAAGCTCTTCCATCGAAGCCAGTCGCCTGGGTTTGTTGTTTCTCCGCTCGCTCATTTGTGTGTCGAGCGTTTCTAACATTCACAGAGTTTTTATGCAGCAATTATTCATTCGCAGACAGGGATCATTAAAGCAACCTTGATCTAAGTAACAACGTTGCCCTTGTTGCACCTTGCAGTTATCAGAGTCAACTGTCAACAGTGTCACTCTGTGTTGCTGACAGCAGCTGTTGTAGTTCACAGTTGCTGGAGTAACCACGTTGCTGCTGAAGAATCGTACTTGCTGTAGTAACGATGTTTCTCTGTGTTGAAGGACAGATCCTCCTCAGCTTGACGCCTTCATCATGGACAAAGCTCTGCTGGACTATGAAGTTTCCATTGATGCTGACTGTAAACTGGCAACTGTTGGGAAGCCATTTGCCATTGAAGGTAATGCAGTGTGTTTACACTGCTGTAATTATGCTGTTGTGAGGATGTGAGGGACCACATTAACAACACATAACAATGCACATCATAAACCATGCTAAATAAAGTAGGTTTTATACAACATGTCACTGATTAACTTTGTGTCATCAATTTAAATATTACCCAATAACGAACCCAGCATCAAATCAAATGATTTGTTTGGGAAGGCATAACTCAGCACATGCAAAGAAATGTGCTGGGGCCTTCACAACAGCTAAGAGGCTGACTAGGCCTTCACAGAGGACCAGTGTGACCTTTAGATGTTGGACATTGTTGGATAGTCAGGACATATTTTATGATCCCTTACTTTGGGTTGAAAATTCAAAGGTGTTTTTGAGGGTTCAGCCCTGGTTTCAGGGTTGATGTTGAGATTGGGGTTAAGCACTGAGGTGTGATATTAATGTTGGAGGGTTGGTGAATCATTATAGCATGGTGTCCTCACAAGTATAGATAGAGAGGCTAACATGTTTTTGGCTGTGTCTCTTGGTTTGTCTTCAGTTCACTTCCTCTCAGTTTGGAACATTTTTAACTGAAATATATTTCACAAAGTTACATCATCAGGGGAACCTCTGCCAATCAGATGAGAGGAACATTCCCTGCAGTTGAACTGCATACAGCTGTTTCCTCCCAGACACTCGGATGACAAAACGCTAGTAAAGACTGTTTGCACATACCGTACACTGCAAACAGTAAATTGAATCTAAAGGTTGGACTGTTCCTTTAAAAGTGATGGAGAAGTATTAGATTACACTTTTAATTTAAATAGTAAAAGTATGAGTTCGGTATTCTCAAGGATTTAATTAGACCTTCATTTCACACCGTTAAAGAATTACTGTTCAAACCTTCATTCTGTCTGTGACCCCTTTAGCTAAATTCTGTAATGTGTTGATTCTTACGTAGTACTTCTCTGACTCTGTCTGCACATTCATTTATAAATCCAGGCATTACTTTGGACTCCAGGCTCTGTTTCAAACAACATACAACTAAGTTCAATCCTGTTTTTTACTGGAATATAAATAAAGTCAAAGCCTTTCTCTCATTTGCTGACCTTGAAGAAGTTATCCATGAACTTATTTCCTCTCACTTAGACTACTGCAATTCCTTTTACTCCAGGCTTAACCTTAAATCCATTGTTTGTCTTCAGCTTGTTGAAAATGCAGCTGCTAGACTGCTGACAAACTCTGCTCAAAGAGATCATATTACTCCTGTCCTTGCCTAATTACATTGGATACCAGTTAAGATCAGAATTTTAATCTTTTACTGAATGTTTAAAAGCCCTTTGTGGCCTTGCACCACATTACATTTATGGGTTACTGGTCCCATATGAGCCAAAGCACCCTCTTTGCTCTTCTGATCAGTTTATTAACCATCCTGAGGTCTTACTGTGAGGAGACCATGCATTTGCTGATCAAGCTCCACAGTTAAGGCACTTTCTCCCAGATGCTCTCAGGTCAGCATACGGCTTTGTTTTGAGCCATTTCAGTAATAATCTACAGCAACTTATTACTGACACCATTATTTACTGTTGTTTGTTGTTGACAGGTTATGGCATTGGTCTTCCTCAGAACTCTCCTCTAACCTCAAACATCTCTGAGTTCATCAGTAGATATAAATCAGATGGTTACATGGACTTGCTGCACGACAAATGGTATAAAGTGGTCCCCTGTGGAAACAGAGTGTTTGCCGTTACCGAGGTTAGTCTACATGGGTTATTCTGCATGGTGCCACAATCAGATGTCACTTTGTTCTCAAAAACACAGTCACACATAAACCAGTGTGTGGATGGGGTGGCTTTGGTTCAGGAGTAGCGCAGGTTGACCTCTGATTGCAGAGTTGGTGGTTCAGTTCCCAGTCTCTACAGTCCACATGTTGAAGTGTCCTTGGGCAAGACAGTGAATGCAGCGCCTTGCATGGCAGCATCGCTGCCATCATTTCGAGAGTTTGTGAATACTGGAATCTGTACAGCACTTTGTCCTTTGAGGTAGAAAAGCGTTACATAAGTGCAGGTCATTTATCAGTGTGTGACTGCCCAAGTAATGTAATTACACTTGAGTTTAAAGGGTATACGTATATCCAGAAACATCCCTTTTTGTAATTATTTCTCCAACTCTGTGATTCCTTTTAACTTTTTCAGTGCCATTACTGAAAAGGGAATGTTTTTGGAGATGCTGTACCCTTAAAACTCTGCATCCGAATGATCAGAGGTATCAGGGTATCACATTGTTCGGCCTCCCCAGGAAAGCTTATGCCATGGCACTGGAAAGTAGGCTCAGACTAATAATTGAACCTCAGATTCAGGGGGAGCAATTTAGACCCCTTCTTGGCTGTGGAACAGTGGATCAGCTTTTTACCCTTGTGAGGCTGCTGGAGGGGTCACGGGAGCTTGCACCACCAGTCTACATGTGTCTTGTGGATGCGGATATGGACTATGACTGGGTCCCTCAGGGGGTCTTTTGAGGGTACTGTGGGGGGTATGGGGTACCGGGGCTGCTGTTATCAGCCATCCGGTTCTTATACTCTCAAGATGATCCATTGAATGATGAGTCTGCCTACAGGGAGGAAGTGCAAGGGCTAGCTGCATGGTGGAAAGAAAATAATCTCACGCTCAATATCAAAAAGACCAAAGAACTGATAATTGACTTTAGGAAGAGTAAGGAGGTACACACACCACTGTACATTAACGTCGAGGAGGTAGAGAGGGTAGCAAGTTTTAAATTCCTGGGGGTGTTCCACATTACAGAGGACCTCTCATGGACCGTTAATACCAATATGCTGGTCAAAAATGCACAAAAGGGGTTATACCTCTTAAGGACATTCAGGAAGATAAATCTCTCACAACACCTGCTTAGATCTTACTACCACAGCAACATTGAGAGTGTCCTGATGCACGGCATCCTGGTGTGGTATGGGAGCAGCTCTGCAGCAGATAAAAAGGCTCTGCAGAGAATCATCAAGACTGCAAATAACATCACAAACTCCCAGTTTCCAACCCTGGATGACATTTTCACTTCTCGCTGTTTGCAGAAAACTCACAATATCCTCAAAGACTATTTTCACCCTGCTTGTCACCTTTTTGAACTGCTGCCTTTGGACAAACGATTATAGATCCATTAAAACACACACTACACGATTTCTGAACAGTTATTACCCTAGATCCATAAACATACTAAATAATCATCTCCAGAACCACCCTTATTGAAGACAGCAAGTTTTATCGTGCAATATTTATTGATCTCTTTTAAGTGTAATTACCTCACTAAGTGTATATGCTGGCACTGAGTATTGTATTTGTATTTATATAGTTGTACCCTGACGTGCATCTAAAATTTCACTGTATATTTTGTACAGTGACAAGTATCTATTTATCCGTCCCAAGTGAACGTTGTCTTATATTCTCGACAAAAATCAAGTGCATTCCCAGTGGGTTGAGAACAAGGTTGCCCCTTGTCTCCAATCCTGTTCATAATTTTCATGGGCAGGATCTCAAGCGATAGTCAGGCGGAGGTGTGCATCTGGTTTGGGAACCTCAGAATCCTTTTTCAGCTTTTTTGCAGATGATGTGGTTCTGTTGGCTTCATCAGTGTGTGACTTCTAGCATGCACAGGGGTGGTTTGCAGCCAAGTATGAACAGATGAGAGTCAGCAACTCCAGTTCTGAGGCCATAGTTCTCATCTGGAAAACAGTGGATTGCTCTCATGTTTTAAAAATGAACTTAACCAAAAAAATGTTACAGATGACAGACTAACCTCCAGTCAAGGTCAACATGCTCCCTATTTCCAGACCTTCGTCTAATATTACACAATTTGCTGACTGTTGCTTCCAAGGTGACAAATGAACTGATTTAATTTGTTTGATCTTGTCAGTCCCTGTGTACAGTAGTATAGGTTTATGTGTTGTTCAGTTGTTCAGCTGCTGCTTCTTGCAGGTCACTCAGACACATAGGTGAAGTCAGAGATTCAAAGTGAAAGTCACACAATCACCACAAAATAGTTAATAAAACTATGAAATATGTGACCCTGAGGCTCATTTGTTTAATTCTACAAGTGCTGCTGAGTTTTGACCATTTGTAACTGTCATCTTTCTCCATGCAGGTGAAGTTTTTCCAGAACCTAAATGGTTGTGTCTCTGCTCTGTCAGACTCTCCAGATGGGGATCAGCCACTTTTCCGGACTCTTTGTGTTGTTGTGTGTTGGAGTGGGCGGAGCTTTGCTTACTCTAGCAGTTGAACATGGTTTCTACCGACTTGTCCTCCCGCATATCCGTCGCCGACAGAACCTCAAGTACTGGCTGCACACCTCACAGGTGAGTCTCAGAGTGTACAGATTTGTATTGTTATAAGATTAACACAAGCACTGATGTGGTTCATACACCTGTCAGGGGGGAGCACAAACATTTAAAATAAAAAATATAAAGTTAAACTTCTCTAGTTTTGAGGAGGTTACAGTTCTGTAGTGGTTCCAACAAACAGACTGCTTGTGTGTTTGGCAGAAAATCCATCGTGCTCTAAACATGACTTATGAGGACGTGAAGAGGCAGCGAGCTGAGAGAGATAAAAGGTTTGTAACTCCATTAACGGGCGGTGTGATCACAGGACAATTATGGGAGTCTAGAGTTTTCTTGACAAATGTCTAAACCAGTTCAGATCAGTGTTTGTAATAAAGTAGGGTGATGATGTGAAAAACAATTCCAGCTCAAGGGCCACCTACTCATTGCTTCTGGAGCTTTTTATCATATTGCATGGCCCTTACAAGCAGATATGTGTGTTGACTGGTTCCAAGGTAAATAATGATGTGTGGACACATTTATGTTTCTCTGCTTATGTTCAGCTGTAACCTGCAGAAGTCTCAGTCCCCTCCAGGACCCCCTGCCCCGCCAGTCCCTGGAACCTCAGCCAAGTGGAACAATGAAACCAGCACGGACACTGCTGTCACCAAGGATGCCCGAGATTTCAAACGAGTCCACTTCAACCTGGAGACCCTCAACACCCGCCGCCTGCTTGCTCGCATTGCAGCCTCTGATGCCAAAGGAGGTGTGACTAAATGTGACAGGGAGGGACCAGTCAAGCTGATGGCAGGGCCAAACAACAGACTGTGTGAGAATGGAGGACCACCGGCCTCATTTGCCAGTCTAGTTCTCTCTCTCCCCTCCTCATCGTCGTCTTCATCTTCCTTCTCTACCCGACCTAATGCCTCTGCTCCTCCTCCTGCAACTGCAGCACTGTCCCCCACCCCTGTGGCCCCACCCCAACCAGGTGAGCTGGAGGAGCTGCAGAAAGAGATCGAACAGATGAGGGAGAAGCTAACGATGGCTCTGTCCCGGAGAGCCGAGATCCAGACCACTCTGGCCATACCTGTTGCTATGGTGACAAAAAAATCTTCTGCAGTCAGTACAATGACAGCAGCGATGACAACGACTGGAGCCTCACACACCCCCTTAACCACTGTTGCTCTGGCAACGACCCTCCCAGCCAACACAAAGTGTGTGATGACCATGACGGACCCACCTCACAAAGTCCTGTCCAAAGTCCGACCCCTCACCAGCAGACTGACCAGCCAGAAGAGGTGATGGTCTTTGCACAGGTCAAATGACCCTCTGCACACAGTGGCCATATTAATCAGCTGAGCCTGGAAAATAAATTTTATTTTGAAATGATCTGACCACAATGAACCTGACTGGACAGAAAACAGAACTATCAGGCTCATGTTGTTTGTAACTGACACCTGAAATGTGATTGTCAGGGGGAAATTAAAGCTGCATTAACTAAGATTTAGACCAAATTTGGATAAATCAATTAAAGAATTGTCTAGAAATGTTTTTTTCCTACTTTATTAACCCCCCACCCCCCAGGCTATCTTCAGGCCTAGTGTTGATCTCCCTGTGCAGGTCCAACCCAGGGCAGGAGCGGATCTGTTAGACCCAAGAGGCCGTGATCTGTATCATAGAAAGAGTGCAACAAAGAATGAGGCAAAACCAGGGCGAACATTGGTTTCATGTCAGAGATTAAGAGCACTAAAAGTATCGAAAGGAAATTTTTTTTTACCAGATGTGGCTTTCTTCCTGCTAGACGCACAAGTACTGTAGCTTGCTAAAGTGTATATGTCAGTACCATTGGCATGCTAACATTCGCTTTTCAATTTTGCACCTTTTTAGTGAATTATTATGGTTGTAATTTGGAGTTGCATTCCAACTGACTGTAATGTTAGTGTTTTGTTGCCCAGTTACTGGAAACCAGCGTGTTTTCCTGGATTAGAAAATGAAGTATTTTAGCTATTTTTGCTTGGTTTTGGTCAAGTTTATGTCGGATATTTGCAGCAGTCCATGAAGCATTTTAGTGAGAAGTTGTTAAAATTTACGCCATCAACACAGCTAGAAAAGTGGGAGTTTGTTCAACTATCAAAGCATAACATGAAATTTCTTGTTTCACATACGACTTGCGTTTGTGTATCAGTAACACTAATCGTAATGCGATAGTGGCCAGAACATTAGTACTGCATCAATATTACTGGAAAAAACATTCCTCTGTATAATTTGCTTGTGTTACTGCAGCTACATCTGCTACAAACAGCGTTAGACATACTAATTTATCATTAATTTATTGCTAAAATGTAAACCTTTTTATTTGACATTGTGAAAACCATGGGCTCTATGTTCCATATACATATCGTGGCTGTGGCTCACGAGGTAGGGCAGTCGTCTCCTGACCAGCAAGTTGGTGGTTCGTCTCCCCACATGCCTAAATGTCCCTGAGCAAGACACTGAACCCCGAATTGCTCCCGGTGGCTTGATTAGCGCCGTTGTGTGGCAGCTGTTGTCATCGGTGTGTGAATGGTGTATCATCTCTGTAAAGCGCTTTGGCCAGTGTAACACACTGTGGAAATGCCCTATATAAATACAGTCCATTTACCATATACATTAGCTCTGGAGCCAGTTATTACTGCTGCACTACTTGACTGCCACACATGTCTCTGGCTGTCGTGACCATATATGACGGGGCAGGAGGGAGAAGGGGAGGGGATACTGCTGGAGTTTGATTTGACTCTCATGTTTGAGAATTAGGAGAAATTAGTTAAGGCAATCTCATCATCCAATGCAAATGTTTGGTGCCAATGCTTTAAAAGTCAGTTTGTTCTTTGTGTAGAGGTAATAAGTAATATGAAATACTAAAGTTTTAAAAAGTGCAGATTCAATAGTTTAACCCAACACTGGGTTAATGGATTAAAAGAGGTTGTAATGGATTATCGGCATGGTTTTTACAAACTGCCACAGAGCATTGAAACAACTTCTGAATTTTCACCTTAATAACAAACAGTATTGTCTCTTAATACCCTATAAAGGTATTTTTGGATCGGATGTGTACAGTTACTCTAAGAGTTTTGAAATGCAAATTGCAGGGGGTTTTTTTCAAAGTAATGTTCCTTGGACATGATCATTTTAAAAGAAAATATTCGATTTGCATGTTTTATGAGATAAAATGGCTGAAATTCAGATGAAAAACTAGGCCTTCTGAGCCCCCCACCTAACTCATCAAATTACGTCACAAAGGGAGTCAGCCTCTGTGTATGTAGTATTAGTAGTAGTAGTGGGTAGTTTTATGTACTTGTTTTTTTGCTAGTTAATAATCACCTTTCACATTGTTGTTTTGTGCCTATGCACAAACTACATCCATTCCAGGTTACCTGACAGGAAGAGGAGCGGAGCAGCTTTCATGCCTGGTTGCGTCTATGCAGGTGAAGAGACGGGATTTCACAGCTGCATCTGTACCAATAAATGTGGTTGTGTACCTTCTCAGTTTAGACAGGAGGGTTATATTCCCAGCCACATAATGAAGTTCATGATGGGGGGTCTAAACCAGGACCCTGTAAGATTGACGGTTCCTACTGCAGATGAAAACATGAACTGTGCACTGTTAGGTTTTGCTTTCAATTACTTCGTCACATCCAAATCTGTACATGTAATGGTTTAATTCACAAGAAGTAACATGTGCCAGGTATTTATCATTGTAAGGCAGTACCTTCTTGTAGAACCCAAAAACCGTAACCTAAGGGTAGCTAGCATTTATTAGTTTATTAGCTAAATGCAGAGTTTGATAAGATTTGATATCATCTGTTTGCCAACATTTCAGTCCATATTTTGGTGACTTGTTTGTGCAGTCTGTGCTTATGTAACTTGTGTGTGAAAACTTGTGATTATGAAGGACAGAACGTGAATGCCCGTTAGCCACTAGCTAGCCTGGGCACCTGTTAGCCGTTATCGTAAGCTATCTCGGGCGCCTGCTGGCCATTACCGTTAACTAGCTTGGGCGCCTGTGAGCCGACCCTTGAGCTCTGTCACTTGTTGGCGTTAAACCGTATACATAGTGATGGTCCTCTGACACCCGAGGCTCCGACACATGCACGGTAGCTCATGAAATAATTGTATCGAATCAGTGTGCCGAGGTGTGACTAGTGACGTTCGAAGCACTTGAGTGAGGTTCGAAGCAGTTGGGTGCCTCGGACGTCATACAAATCAGCTAATTGGTTCGGTTTGTCATGTGAATCACTTTGCTGGATCGAGTGTGTTCAGAGATAGAATATCCCTATTTAGTTGCATTCATTTGAATTTTTCTTGGCAGAGCAGGTTGGTTTGTTGCTGTTGTTGCCTTAGTTCCTTTGAGAGTTAGTGTTGTAGCAGATTGTGTATTTAGTGGAGAATCACTGTAGGTAGAGAGATAGATCAATAGATAGCTAGATAGTTAGAAATAGATAAATTAGTTACATAGTTATATAACACTAGATATAGTTACATAGTGCTAAATACTGTTTTATATATATATAGATAGATATATTACATATATAGATAAAAATAGCCCATAATCTATTCTGTATTTGCACCAGTCCCATGTGAAAATGACATCTGTCTGAATCTGTAGAGCACAGCTCATGAATGTAGCAGCGCCATTTAAATGTTTCATAACACAAAATATAAGTGAAGAGTATATAGGGTTACAAACATGCCAAATAAGAAACATGGTCTTCAACACGAGTTCATGTTTATTTTATATTTTACTGTCAGCTTGAAACCATACAACCATGTAGTGTAATTGAACAGGAATATGTATGGCGAATCAAATCCCAAACAATCTATGTACCAATCACACGTCTTGATTGCACTTCATTTTATTGACCACTGGATGTCCCACTCGAGCACTGTGAACCATTTTTGTGAATACTGTTTCAACAAAGCCTCAATCAGCCATCACTACACTACGTGTACAGTTGTATACAAGAGAAAAGGGAAATAAACTGAAGAACCCATGGACAAAATCCTTAGTTGAGTACCCAACTCTCAACATACCTTCAAATTCTAAATGTGTAATGTATTTTAATTTACTATTTGCATGGTTAAGAGGGTAGAAGGGTTTAATTGATTATTTCAAGACTTTCTAAGGCTATAAATAACCCTTAAAAAAACTGACCATGAAAAACATGCCTGAACATTCATTATTATTAAAAATGTAAGGTTTCTCTACAGCTCCTAAATCATTGAAATTTTACGTGAAAATTCCATGAATTTCTCCATAAATTGATATAATCAAGATATTTTATTGGGACTTTTAGAGTTATGTTTAATGGATAAATTAGCAGATTATATTTTTTGTACATGTTGACAGAATAAAACAGATTCAACACTGCAGATGAGCCCATTTGTAATGAATGATAATTTAGTGTTTTATTTTCTTCAGGAGCTCTGAACACTGTATTATTATTAAAACAGGAAATTGTTAACATTAAGACTTTATCACCGTGAGTACCCTAAACCTGGTGATGAGGATGTGATCGGTTGCTTCATCTAACAGCTCCCCTTTTCACTTAATTTCAGCCAGTGTATACCAAACATGCAGTTAGCCTGCTTGCTAATCTTAGAACAGCTCTTCCTGTTGCTGTTTCAGATTAAACGCCTTTCAGGAGTTCCCGGGAGTGAGGCTTTTATTGTGAAACAGCAATGGGAACTGTGCAGTTGAAATTGCTAACAGTTCAACAGCAGACACTTCAACTGATCAATTATATCCACTGGTCAAACTGTGGGGTGTGTTGATCAATACAGTACAGGAAACAATAACAGATTTTTAAAAAGTTACACTGCATCAGTTTTCTGTCATTTCAAAAGCAAAATGCACAACATGTAAACACAAAAACACCAACAGAAACAAAGTTTTAGTGTTTAGTTTCCAAGAAGTGTTTTCAGATTATCGGTTTTTCCACAATTCATGAATGAGCTACAACCTCCAACTAAATAATCTGGATTTGTACTGGAATTAACCCAGGATTAAACTGTAGTTTAAAGCAGATTTAAACCAGCTAACCCCCCCAACCTTAATTTATAGATTGTGGACTTTGTGAATCAAAAACAATTCAAATTGGAAGTTCAGTGATAACATCCAGCCCTACTCAACAGATAGGGGATGTCCACTAGAGTCCAAAAGAAACCAGTAGAAGCCAGCTTTAGTATAATTAATGACTGTAAATGAGAGTGAACCAATAAGATGAGTGAGAGCTCCAGTACTGCCTATAACAGACTCTAGAAGAGTCCAGCAAAGTCAAATTGAGTTCAGGAGAGTCCGGTACAGAACAAAAGATCATCTCCAGGTGTGCCTGCTGACAGCAGCTGGATGAAAGTCTGGAGGTGGAGGACGAAGATGATTCAGATTAAGAATCCAGTAGACACAGGTTGAAGATGAGTTCTGCACAGACAGGTGGCAGCATCAATCAGAGGATGAAGAAGAGGAGGACGACGACAAAGAGGATGGTGAGCAACACACCTATAGCACACCACTGACGACGGTCTATAAGGACACAAAGAATTAGTAACTATCAACTAACTATAACTAACTTATCCCATGTTGGTAATGGTCTGCAGAAACACAATTTATAAAACTATTACCTATTAATACTACAATCAAAGTATTATTCAATATATGCAACTATAACTTAACTATAGCTAACTATAATCATCCCTGAGATTCATTTATTTGAAGTTATTTATTTTATTTTTTAAATTTGATTAATTTCTGTCACTGCACCAATTGAAAACAGTGTGACATCAGGTGTCGCTGGGCAGATTACCACTGGTCATGTGGGACACTTTGGCCAGTTTCTTCATGACATTGTCCAGTCTGGACTGAGTGTTGTCCATCTCATGGCCAAAGTCATCCAGCATCCTGCAGGAACCGGATGGGACAGCATGAGTTATCACACTGGGCTGTTGTCCCCTCACCTCCTGTTGTTATTGTCTCCTACTTCCTGTCATTGTCCCACCATGCCCTGTTGTTGTCCACTATCTCCTGTTGTCCCCCCAACCTCCTGTCATTTCCCCCCCATACCCTGTTGCTGTCCACTACCTCCTGTTGTTGTCCCCTACTTCCTGTCATTGTCCCCCCGCTCCCTGTTGTTGTCCACTATCTCCTGTTGTTGTCCCTCACTTCCTGTCATTGTCCCCCCATGCCCTGTTGTTGTCCCCTACACCCTGTTTTTGTTGTCCCCCACCTCCTGTTTTTTTTGTTGTCCCCACCTCCTGTTATTATAATCTGAGTTTAACCTATTCTGTTGCATTGTTTCCCTGTTTCTTGACCTGACTGTTGCCAAACGCAATGTAGCAGAAAAAGTTGCCTGACCAGTTCAAAATGTGACATAAATCGGTTCTAAAAAATAAACCTTACAAGTAGAGGTTTCCCAGTGAATCCAAAAGTTAATGTTTTGAATATCTGGTTTCTTACACAGCTTGTTCATCCAACTCCATGCCGATCCTCTCAGACATGTTCTTCAGGACTCCAATTGTTCCTGACACGAGCTCCAACTGTTCATCCTGCTGCTCTACTATCAGCTACAACAAAACACACACATACATTAAATGATTTACAGTACAGGGCTCCAGGGTGCCAGTGATCAGCTGCATTTGCAACCAAATTTATTTAAGGTGGAAATGACTCTTTTCAAAGGCCGTACTGGGTGTGACCACAAAATACACCAGTTATGCATGGTCTCTGTAGAAATTCTGAACAGACTTAATAATCACTGTGACACTGTCTGCAGTTCTGTCACTCACCCGTCTCACGAAGTAGGGTGTGTTGATCCTCACGGACTACAAGCCACACACATCATCCCTGGACCCCTTTTTTGCCTTTCGAGTCTATTCTTTCCTTTCCACTAACTGCCACAGACAGGTAGATCACCTGTTAACCTATTTATGTGTTGGAAACTTCTTACTTGAATCCCTTCTGATGGAGCAGGCTGCTGGTGTCACTGTGTGCTTTAGGGTTTTACCCCAGCCCTCACCCATCCTTTGTAGCCAGAAGGGGAAATTAATAACTTAACAAATTCATGCTACATGAAAATTATTTTTATTCAGTACATTTCTGCTGTCGTTCAGCCTGGTGAAGACTGTGCTGTCCTCCTGCTGACAGACAGATGTTCTGACTAAACACGCTGCACGAAAGTCGGAGTCAGTGTGGCTTGAGCAGATCAAACACTTCGTCGGGCACACGCTGCTCATGTTTTGTGAAGTCCCAGTTTGAAGTTAGTAGTGGCTGAAACCCACCATCAATCCTTCTTTAAGTAGCAGGCTGCTAGTAACTTTAGCGCAGAATAAGCTGGGACTAGCAGTCGACACAGACATCGCCAAAGAGCAGAAACTGTTCTTCAAAAAAAATGGGCTCCAAAGGCATGCATGCAAAAGCATACATGCAATTCATACTTCCATTGAACTATAATAGCCTAATCATCATCATCATCATGTTGACTGCTAGGCTATAGAGCTCTAAAGTGACTCTACATAAAAAGAGGAAAAAATTTTCCCATTTAATGTTTTCCGTAAGTCTCCTCTCTCTGAGTTCCATTATAAATACAGGCTATGCATGTTGGATGGTAAGGTTATTTAAAATGATTTGTGAAAATTAGATTTTTTTTGCATTATGTTGTAAAACAAAGGTGGTGCTACCAAATCTGGCACTGGTGCCACAACCTGAGCAACTTGCTGCCACCACTGCCACCAGTATGAAATATTAGTCTTTAGCCCTGCAGTATACAGTACAAATCGGCCCTATTTATTTATTTGCTTACTTGCTTGCAGTATTTAAAAACACTTTCATAAAACTCTACTGTATGACATTTCTCAGAGCTCTGTTACTGGCTGTTTAATTATTCATG